GGTCGCGTCTATGAACTAAATGTTGAACAATATTATAGGATGGGACGGAGACTCGAAAGACCTTCTTGCATGTTCCTTCGGCTATTGAGGCAGAAGAGGCGGAAGAGATTGGTGTTGAGCACTTATTGCGAGACATCAAAGATTCGACAACTACCACCCTATCTACACGAATCAGCAATCAACTGGCATCTCTACGGGGTCTTCAATCTCGACTGTTGGAAATCCGTGACTATTTACAGTCCGTGGCAGCAGGGGTTCTACCTGTTAACCATCAAATCATCTACCATTTACAAGATATGCTCAATCTTCTTCCTGACCTGGACGACCCAACCAAGACAAAAAGTTTCAACGCTAATACCAACGATCAACTATTGGTCGTCTATCTCAGTAGTTTAGCTCGGGCTGTCATTGCACTTCATGCTCTTGTGGATAACAAGGAGACAAACGGCCGTGCGGAATTAGAAGAGGGAAAGAGCGACACGAAGGCAGATGATGAGAAGGCGAAGAAAGTCGGTAAGGCAGAGTCGAAGTCAAAGGAGAAAGGCAAAGAGTCCGAGGCGAAAGGTAGCAAAGAAGATAAATCATAGATAATATAGGGCTGAAGGCGAGCTATGTAATACTTATAACCACATCTGTGGAGAGGGACTTGTCAATCCTTGAAAACGAGTTAAGTACGCGTATATATTAAAATGACAAGGTAAGACCAGAGCAAGCGGATGGTGGCCTACAATGTGATAGCCATAATAAAACAACAACTATAATGCGTCGTCAATCCGAGGAGGTTGTCGAAAAACCGTTACTTGTGTAGATTGAGGAATCAAATGCTACAGATAGTCGTCCATGACGAGATAACATCTGGTCGGATTGTTGATGTGATATCTGGGCAGACTCCAAGAAACCGAGTTCATTTAGCTCTATCGTCGTCCAGATCTCGGCATTGGGGGCCAATCCCCGTAAGTTCAAGACGAGTCTGGATGAGGCGCAAACGCAGACTGCATGAGCGAAATATTTTGCGAGCCCATTCAAAGTGGGTGGGGCCACGGTCCAATCTAGAAGGCAAAGCATAGAACTGCTCGCCATGACGAGGAAATAAACTATGCCTAGAATAACACACTAAAATAATACTGGAATCACAAGATGGTGAGCTTACCATCACGGTATAGCAAATGTGCTACTGCGAATAGGAAAATAAGTTAAATAAGAACTGTTTGCAATGGATGTAACAATACCTGGCGTCGACCTAGAGATATTACAGCCCATGGTGCGAATAACACGTACAACGGTTAGAATTACCATGAGACTCTCAAAGAAGAGAGATGGCAACCAGACTATCCACATGTCGGGGGGAATTGACGCATTACATATATTAAATGGCGCTGTGGGAACGTTGTTATCTGGACTGTTCGTAAATGGAGAACCCGCTGACAACCCTGCTCCATGAAAACCTACAAGACATCGGTATCACGCCAAGACCAACCAAGGTAAATGTTGCGACGATGTAGGTCAGAAATGCAACAACAAGAACAATTATAATCCAACGACTCTGGCCATGCAAGGCGCTCACACGCAAGGCAACGAGGCCTGATGATTATGATCAGCCATATGCGAAGAGAAATGAAAGATATTAGACCATGAATGACTGAGAATGACGCCACAACCAAAAAACCTTCTATAACTAGCCAAGTTCTGCAAAACTGCACACTAATTGAGTGCATCGGTGCAAAAGCGCATTGTTTTGTATCACGTACGGAATGTGAGAGGGGCGACGCAAGGCCACTTTTATCATACAAATCAAAAGCTAATACGATCGGCGTGGCATAACTTCAAGATGACTTGAATGATATGTACACGAAAAGATGGCCAGGACCGCACCGATTGATAAGGAAAAGAATGGACACAATATTTTTGGGACGTGACCACACCTGTGCGACCTTTTCAAAGCATTGAGCTCAGAAGCACTCGATTCAGGCTTAAAACAGAAAACACCTCTTGTGAGAAAGTCAAAAAATGTTCGAATATCAATATTGTGAATCCAGCAGCTGGAGGCTGTGGGATCAGCTGAAATATTATGGGGTGCCTTGTCACATACAAGTAAGGCATCTACTTGCAATAATATGATGATATGCAGTCACAAGAGACGGGGTGGATGTATCCGTGTTCTGTACCATAATTGTGGACATGGGAGCATGGTTAAACGATATGAAGTCGCCAGAAACAGCTATATAGCATTAGATACACCGCTCATTATGTTGTTCTATGAAAGGCTAGGTTGGGCGAGTTCCCCAGTTCGATAATTTAATCATATGTGACTGTAGCAGGAGGCTGGGACCAGCGGCTACCTCTAATATTCCCAGTGGCACCTCTCACCATTTTATGAATAGGCCAAGCCGGTCAAGTCATCCTTAATCGGGGTTTCAAGTCTTCTGTCTCTAATCTAGAAGTCGTCACATCCGCCTGACCTTACATGATAAAAAGATAGCACCAGGCTCTAGTAATCTATCGGATTTGAAACCGAAAACCAACACTTGGGGTAGTACCAGAAGCATGCAAAACGCAGTTGCTAAGTTTTTATCAACCAGTCAAACAGCAGAACATAGAGCAAGGAGCAAGGAGCAAGAGCAAGAGCCTCCATGAAAGGAAACTCACGTCTGAGCCTGAATCAAGCGCTGGTAGCCTTCACTCCCTCCAATGGTCGCACAATCTGCTCTGTCAAACATAAACGGCGTAGAGTCTAAGGCTAAGCTGAATGGTAAGACTATTAAGTCGAAGAACCAATTGCGCCGCCTGAAAGCGAAAGAAAAGAAAGTAGCGCAAGCTGCGGCTTCGGTAAGTAAATTGGTCAACTGTCTCCAGCTCTCTCGTACATCACTAATTTTCACTTTTAGGATGCAAACGGTGCCTCTGAGGCAAAAGTTGAGGGAAAGGATGCTCCACAAGAGCATGTTCTAGAGTACGTGCCAGAGCCGTTGGATCTTAGTGCTCCAAGTGTTGCAGCTTTCTCCGACGTATTTGCACGCTTTCAGTTACCCGCTGAAGAAATAGTAGTGAGTGTTGTATATACAATTAGTTTATGATAGTCTTACTTCCTTTTTATGTCCTTCTTAGTCCAAGAACATAGAATCTTCAAAGGGGGAAATAATCTATTCGGACGATGATATGCCATCGGATGGAGAATCAGACTCGGCTGAGGCTAAACCAATATCAAAGCGGAAACAAAGGAAGTTAGCACGTTTAACAGTTGCCGAGCTCAAGCAATTGGTGAAGAAACCCGAGGTGGTCGAATGGACGGACGTTACTGCCTCTGATCCACGGCTCCTACTCCAGCTCAAAAGCTATAGGAATACCATTCCAGTTCCGGCCCATTGGAGTGCCAAGCGAGATTATCTACAAGGAAAAAGGGGTATCGAAAAGGCACCTTTCCAGCTTCCGGCTTATATTGCAGATACTGGAGTGGCGACGATGAGGGAGGCCGTGAAGGAGAAGGAAGCCAACATGTCGCTTAAAGCAAAAACACGAGAAAGGGTTCAACCCAAGATGGGAAAAATGGATATTGACTATCAAAAGTTACACGATGCTTTCTTTAAATTCCAGACTAAACCTCCGGTCACTGGATTCGGCGAGATGTAAGAGATAATGTTCGTATGTATTGTCGTGCTCTAAATTATGTTGTTGATTAGGTATTATGAGGGCAAAGAGTTCGAAACCTCTTTGAAGGAGAAGCGGCCTGGTGATCTGTCCCCCGAACTAGTTGAAGCCCTCTCTATCCCTCCTCTGGCACCTCCACCATGGTTAATCAGCATGCAACGGTTTGGTCCGCCACCCAGTTATCCGACTCTGCGAATACCAGGACTCAATGCTCCGATTCCTGAAGGGTATGCCCTCGCTCTCCCTACTCCTTTTAGTTTAGCATTAAATTGGATTTTTAGAGCACAATGGGGATTCCATCCAGGTGGGTGGGGCAAGCCGCCGCTTGATGAATATAATCGACCACTCTATGGTGATGTGTTCGGCGTAATGCCCAGGCCCAGTGATCAGCATGTAAGTTGCAGTAATGTTGCAGGCTATGCAGAGCTTATCCGTCGTCCACAGTTGGGAGAACCCATAGATAAAGAGCTTTGGGGAGAATTGCAGCCCGAAGAAGGTATGGTTGCTCGTAGACATTTTTTGGGTTCCATGTTGACGCCTTTTTACGCCTTTTAACAGAGGAGGAGGAGGACGAGAGCGAGGAGGAATCAGACGAAGAAGAAGCCCCAGAGCCGGTTCCAGCGGATGGGCTTCAGACGCCGTCCGGTATGGAGACACCTTCTGGACTCGCAAGTATTGTTTCCACCGTCGCGGGAGGTTTGGAAACGCCGGATTTCCTGGAATTGCGCAAGAATGCTGGAAGAGCTGCTTCTGAGGCCGTGGAACCGTCCGGTCCTCGCTCGCTATATCATGTTGTGCCAGAAAAACAAACATCTGTCCGCGGTTTGATGGGTAGCGAACGGGGTTACGACGTCGGTGCTGTGACAAACGGCGTGTCGGTCCCTGTGCTGGGAGAAGAGCGCGGAACAAAGGTGTGAAAGTCCTCGTGGTCAAATTTATTATTTGCTAAATATTGGTTTCTAGCGCAAAGCCAATGGTGTAGATGTGTCAATCGATCCGGCCGAACTTGAGAACATGTCCGAGGATCAGTTGCGGCGTCGACACGAGTTGGCCTCGAGAAGCTCTGCGGGGGTTCCTGGTGCGAATAGCCAGGAAGACTTTTCAGACATGGTCGCAAAAGAAATGTCGAGTCGTCAGAAGAAGCAAAAAATGGTGGATAGCAAGAGGAGCGGGTCAAGTAAGGAGTTCAAATTCTAAGTTCACATTGTACAGTAATATTTGTTTTTCTTTATCACGCTGACTCGTCCCCATGTAACCTGAAATAAGACACATTGAAACTGTTAATTATCGCCTAAAATAAACCCTAGTGAGGGTTTTGCAAGTTTGGAATCAATCAAGCTGTGCTCGAAAAAAGATGGTAGGAGTGGGGTTCGAACCCACGCGCCATAACGGCAGCAGGAAATTTAAGGACTTAAATCTGCCAACTTAACCACTCGTTCATCCTACCGCAATGACGTCCTACCACTATATATCATTAAGTATATGATTCCTCTTTGTGCTTCTCCTACAACTACACCATGCTACAACTTTAATTTATGTTTTCATTGGACGTTATATCTCATTTATTATTAACACTAGTACAAAGATTGACCAATATGTGATATCACATAATGAATTCTATTCCTCTTGTTTCTTTAGTCCAGACAGCGACTTTGTAATTCTGAAAATTTGGGATAAAGGTAAGATAAGCCAACTTGGTTGTTCACTACATCTACATCACTTACTCGACAGGGACGCCAAAAATATCGATAGCATCGATTCGTGTCTCATCTTCTCCACCTTGGTTTGATGCCACAAAAATCTATGTGATGGTCAAAAAAAGTCTGAAATAGCAATACGACACTCACATGAAGGCTGTTGACTGTTTGGAACCTCACATAACGTAGTGGTATATGTCTGCCTTCCTTGACAGTATCTTCGTTTAGTTCCAGAACTTGCGCGACCTCTGGCTCTATTTGGTCCTCTACATCCTCAAAGCCCAGTGCGGGCTTGTTGGTCAACAGTTTAATTTTCTTGGGGCCTTGAGAAACTGTCGATGTATGTAATATAATAGATCGCACTCGGACAGTCTGGTTAAACTATTTGATTGAGCCATGAATAAGTATCATAAGCATCTATATACCATCATACTTAGTAACTCGAAACCCACCGTAATGTTTATAAGTAGCTGCTCGTCCGCATCACTAAGAAGATATGATTTAGAAGTGTTGAGAGCCTTGGTTCCGAGTATTGACTTGACAGTGTAGGAGTTGTTTTCGTTGAGACAGTTCAATTGGGAGGAATCCAAAAATTCAAGCAGTGAGACCTAATAAAATTGACCTATCAACTGAGCAATATAAGCTGTATTTTTTAAGACATACATCTCCAGGTGCTGGTTCAGTTTTAGATCCAGATCCCGACGCCGAAGCAGTAGAAGTTGAAGGATCATGTTTGACCACCATCGCCTCGAGTTCGTTTGGATTAGCTCCTTTAATCTTGGAAAACTACCGTCAGCAGCACTCGGATAGGATAGTAAAGTATAATACAACCCACATTACCCACTACCGCCTTGTTCCTAATGAACAGAAATGTAGGCATTGCTGAAACCTCATATCTTTGTGCAATAAGCTGGCATTGATCTACGTCCACCTTTGAGAACGTCACATGGCGATATTTGTTTGAAAGGCTAGTATAGAATGGTGAAATGGCGTGACACGGTCCTATTGATGTGCTTTGAGTAATTGTATCATGCTACCGAAGAAGCATACTTGCCACACCAGTCTGCGTAAAAATCCACCACCACCAAACCATCCTTTTTGGCCTGGAGAAGATTGTCGAATTCTGGACAAAAGCTCAAGCGAGATATAAAACAAGAATGATTATCATATACCTTCCAGCGTAGTTATACGCTTTAAGAATGCCATTAGATGGATATGAAGATTTAGACTAGTTAGGGAGAAAATAGAAAATCCTGTGACTGGTGCGTCACCGATTATCTGTTTTCATTATGTAAGGCGCGCGCTAGTTCGCCTGGAATTATTGCTTAGCCTCATAACTCCTTCAAATGTTGACCGATTGCCTTGTAACTTTGTGTATATATTTTAATATTATCGTAACTCCAAAATTTGACCTGTAGCATATTTCCCAAAACTGCAGTCCATTCACGCAATATTTCTGCGCAGACTAGCACACGCCTCACATAATATACAAACAGCAGTAACGCGGAATGAACTTCGACCAACGATTTACAGTATGAAAGAATATATATTTTAGTAGATAGTGAAGTGTCACATAAACGAGATTATATTACTTGCGCAAGAGTCACATGCCTATGGGACATCTCCTGTCCCAAGGCCGACAACTCCAGCGAGACTTTCGACATAGTAGGGCGATGAGAAGGCTCATGATCCCAACACCTCTCTAAAAGGTTCCAAAGTTGATCACTGAACCACCTATCCCAAACGCGTCCTTTCGGCCGTGACGGTCGTTGCTTGTTCGTGACAACTGTGGCGGATTGTATTAAAATCAAATTATTTCGATCTAGTCAAATCAGAGAGTAATAACATACCGACAACAACATGAGCGTCTCGTTTTAAGTTTGCGAAAGGTTTATTGGAAGTCAGGCATTCCATCATGGACATGGAAAACGCATAGACGTCAGTTGCCAAGTTTGGGGATGTGTTAGGTGAGAACTCCATGAGCTCCGGTGCACACCAGCGATTCCCTCCGGTGGAAGTTAATGTGATAGATATCTCTGTTACGCCTTCTATTATTCTTGAAAGGCCAAAATCAGAGATGAGAGCTTCTCCCTGTACCCAGTTAAGCATGGCCAGATAACCATAGTCCTGAACACACCTTCTCAGATACCAATATATTTGCCTGTAACACTTATCAGTCAAAATTATGAATAAAAATAGATTAACTTACGCATTTGACTAGTGTTAGAAATTAGTAAATTAGTGAAGCATCGCTGTCCTTAATGATATAATACTTACGATTCCCATGAACCACAGGCTTATCACGGGTATGTAAATATTCTACGCCACGTGCGGCGCCGATCAACTATAGATGAATCATTATTTCAGGGCGATATTTAAGGGCAGTAAGCTTATTCACCAAGTTAAGACGGTCAGTATCCGGGTAATTCTTAGTGTATCTATTAAAGAATTCAACGATAATAAATACTTGTGCACCACCTGTGACAAATATGGGAACCTACTCTAATACATTGCCATGAGATTGCCACGGAGAAACCTGATAATAATTTTGTTATCTCCCCCGTCACCAGCTACATATAAGAACAAACCACGCATAGATGAGGGCCGAGGTTGTCCGCTATGCCCAGGAATCTAAGGATGTTGGGATGCTCAAGGGTATGCCAGATTGTTATTTCCTGTTCAAATTTCTATTGGACTATTTTAGTATGCTTAATCCAGCTTAAAAAGTAAGCATGAGGGAGCTCTGACCCTTTTTGCACGAGGGTGTGAGATTGTCACTTCCCGCAAGCTTTTCAAAGCCACAGGAACTTTTCCAAGCCACAGACCTAACGATACTTCACTGTAGGGACCTATAATAATCTACTCATCAGCATCAAAACAGATGGTCTATCGAGAAATCACCTTACCGCCTGCTACTGGTCCATCTGTCTTAACAATTTCGTGACTTAGATTAGATATGCTTGGAAAGACCCCGACAGAGTTATAGAGGTTGAGAACATAACCTCCGAGTTCGGTATAAGTTGGCGAATCACGGGTATGCTCATGCAGTTCCTGCAAGGTTGTTAGAATGCGACGAGGGATTAGATAGTATCTAGTACTATTTGTGCTGCTCTCATCACTTCATTGGCGGCTGGTTCTCCTGCAAGGCGCATTTGGAGCAGATTATTGGTGTGTGTCTGCTGGGTCAAAATTTCATGCAGGACAACTTTCAATTCGGCATGGTCGCTTCGTTGGATTTGTTGGTTCTCGTTTAGTTTCTCGACCGTTATCATTTGTGCTTGAATCTAAGGATATGATCCATTCAAGTCAACATCTGGTCCCTTTCTCAATTGCACCACTCACATGGAATCTGTCTTGATACGTTTTTATCTCGTCAAAAGCATTCCTGACCCCTCTAGACACTTCATCCCGTTTCCCTAGCCAGTTATATAATGTCAGCTACGTTAAACCATGTGCGGAATAGCCATAAACACACAGAAAGCTTGTACAAGACTCCAGCTAGCCCATTCAACCATCTTATCATTTATGGCTACAAGCATTCTACAAACGTTATTAGTAAGATCCAGTGACATCGAACATGATCTACGTTTCGAGTGTGTCAACAGCTTCCTGTAGCTTTGAGCCATTCAATCCAGATGACCCATCTCGTAATGCATCGATGATGATCTGAACTCGACGAATCAGAAGACGACACTGAGCCTAATGTGAACAATCGAATGGTAAATAGACTCTAATGAGCTGTGAAAACAACAAGGATGCGTACTTTGTGGACACGGACTTGATCACAAACTCTGCCGATTTCACCAAGCAGAACAGCAACCGCTCCTATTAAAGGCACCCCTCCGACGTTATTGGCAAGCTCCACGGAGGTTACACCTACAGCGAGAGCAGTGTTCAGGACACGACCCACATGCATAATAAGGACAGTATGGAGGTCATCCAGAAGAGGAATAATTAGAATTAAAAGGCGGTGTTTCTGAATCTATATTTGATGATTTAGTGACATCGAAACAGGCCATGCGCGCTAAAGTCATACCTCAGCAACTACTGTGTACCTCGTATGAGGACGCGACGTTCGACCGTCTTGTCACATGTGAATGCAGAACTCGAAACGAACCATGAGGCTGACAATAATGCTAAAATTCAACAAGTAAAAGGCGCCCAAGATCACGCTGATACCGATTTCCAAGGTCCTCCAGAGGCAGTAGAGCCAGATTTGCTCAGCACACCCCCAGAAATTGCACAAGAAGTATGGGAATCACTCAAGGAGGAGTTTTATGAACGTATGTCGTGATATTCTCGGAGTCAAGATGGCTATAGATAGTTTGTTTAGCAATTGAACAGCTCCCATTATCTCTTCACCGGTCATTCACGCTTATTGGGGAGCAAGATAGAGAGGCACAGTGTATTTATCTCAATTTTTTATGACAGGGGATAATGGTCTCAGAATAGCCGTAACAGCTTCCCAGAACGAACTTCTACCTACAATTCGATCATATATTAAGCTTCGGCAGTCTCTCGAACAGGAACAGGACAACGACATTAGGTCAAAGACTGCATATCGTGGCGCGGAAGTAAATCATACGCAGCATAATCGCATTAATGGTACGACAAGAAGCGGACCAGAAAATGATCAAAAATGCGAAGATTTTGGTGACATGATAGTCGAAGCCAGGTCAAATTCACCACCTGCCAACTTTAACCAAGCAAACAACACTGCAAGGGACCCAGCAACCTCACATATTGTTAG